AGGCTGGCGCAAATTCTTCAACAACCAAACTCCATTGTCTATGCAACCATTTGACATTCTTTGGAGGCAGTTTACAGATCGAACCCAACCCAATCGACTTTGACATAGCCTTCGAGAGACTTAAAACGCTTCGCGATAACGTGGCGGTCTTGGCAACAATCATAGTTTTCTTWTTAGTTTATCTTGTAATTGCAATCTTTGCGAGACGTGCCGACAGGCGGGACATGAAAAAGGTAAATGCTGGGATGAAYACCAGYGATATAAATAATAAAGGTTAGGCCGGWGTTGCCTAACCGAGGGATGTCTTCAGGAGTAAAAACTTAATAGCAATATCAATGAAAACGGTTAAGTAAAGAAATTTCATTTYAATTTCAGTTTGGGCCCCCCATAGCAGTATCATCGAGAGCTGGCGGCTTTCAGTACGAAGTCATCATCCAAACAGGTGTATGGAGAAACAGTGGAACAACGTCCAACGTTGCCATAGAAATCAATGGAAGTGACGCCACAAGTGAACAAATTATATTATCTCCCAAGATGGACCAATCACGTCTAATGTTTGCAACCGGAAGTACAGATACGTTCATCATCTCGTTACCAGTCTCTCTGGGTACGTTGGAGTATCTGAACGTAAGACATGACAATACTGGGTCAAGCCCATCATGGTGGCTCAAGGAAGTTGTAATAAAAGACAAACAAACTGACCAAACRTGGTTATTTCTTTATGAAGATTGGTTGGCCTTAGAGAAAGGAGATGGGAGAATCAGCAAATTCCTTCTTCCGCTAAGCAGTACAGAAATGCGGTCTTTCAATTACAATTTCAATAATAGAACWACTAAGAAATTTACTGAGGATCATCTTTGGCTCTCAGTAGTGACAAAACCGCCTTACAGTAACTACACACGATTACAAAGAGCAACGTGTTGTCTGACAGTGCTGTTTTCAGCTATGGTTGTAAATGCCATGTATTACAGGACTACTACAGTCCCTGACCCACGGGTTCAAGTAGGACCTTTGAAGTTTAGCATGAATCAAGTTGTTAAAGGTATCTTAAGTGGATTGATGGTGATTCCTGTTGGCTTGGGGACTGTRTTTCTATTCAAAAACAGCCGCGCTRCAATTTATGAACCAGGGAAGAAAGGACTTTTTGARAGGTTCACCGACTATATCGGWAAATGCTGTAGACCAAAAAGAAACAAAATATCAGACTCGCAAGCATGTTTAACTGAAATTGACCACAGCATTTCCTCAAGTGAACCTGTCATTCAAATAACTAACGAGGAGAACTCAAATCATGTTTATGACAGCGAACAGGTTTCCACTACACCACAACTAAATCGGCCCAGCTTGACGAGTCGGTTGACAAAGGAAACACTTTTGTCCACGGATTCGCCTTGTCAAAGTGAAGACAGCGAGCGCTCTTTGTTACAAGAACACGATGGAGTTAGCACAGTTAATGACAGTAGGTCAACTTTAGGGAGCGAGCAATACAAAGCAAAGGACACAAATAGCAAAAAATCCAAGTTCTCGTGGGTAGAATCCATCAGAGAAATACTGACCGAGAACTTTTCAGCAAAGGACGACGATGACGGTTTCTCGTTACCGCACGCATGCGTATATGTGTCATGGATAATCTGCATTGTCACCGTACTCGTCTCTGCTTCTTTTATATTTATATACAGTCTTGTGTGGGGGAAAGAAATTTCAAATCAATGGCTCTCATCTATACTTATATCTTTCTGTGAAGACCTGTTTGTCATACAGCCAGTCAAGATATTTCTTGTAGCTGTTTTGCTGTCGTGTATTATACGTAAGAAGGGTGGCGTCGAAGAGCTCAGCAAAGTAAAATCGCCCAGAAATTCAATAAAGGTGACCAACATTAGCGATAAAACATCTTCAAGTAAGCTTCAAATGAATACCATTGATGACAACGAGCTAGAGAAGGCGAGAGATTACCAAAGGAAAGAGGATGCTATGTTTTCCTTCGTCAGAGAGCTTATATTATATGGAGTGTTTTTGGTTTTGCTGACAATCGTTTGCTATGGCAACCGTAGTTACCTAGGATACACACAAACAAAAGCGATAAGGAACGACTTTAGTAACTTTTCAAAGGTAAGGTTGATATTTTTCTAAAAACTTCAAGATAAAATATTGTTTTTAAGAGAAAATCGAAGTTAAAGTTGTATGCAAACCATGGCAAATCTCTTGCTCATATATATCGGTCAAGGTAATGATTTTTCATTGTGTTTACCTTATGAATAATTAATGAATTTGATAATGATGATTTCAGATCAGCACTGGAGAAAAGTACTGGAAATGGATCGAATCTCAGTTTTCTGAGAGTGCATTCGCGGGAAACTGGTACAACGGACAAAGCGAGCCCATTGAAGCTTACATCGGTAACAAACGGTCTCTTCTCGTTGGCATGCCACGAATAAGACAGCTCAGAATTAAACCAGGTAAAGGCGTAGTATGCAATCTCATAAAATAATGAAATTAAAAATTAATGGAATTATCGTTTAGTGATTCGATTCGTATACATCGGTGCGTTTTTGGACGTTAAGGAAACGAATCGTTGTGGACGAGTCCAGACGTCGTTTCTCTTGCTCGTTTTATGGGTCGCTTTGCATCAAGGGAAGTCCAAATCCGACTTCCCTTGATCCTTTGCTCGCGACTGAGAAAAAAAGAAGAGTAACGACTGGATACGAGTCTGGTACGAGGCCTCATGATCATGACATTGATAGTCGAAGTAATGAAAAACTCTGAGTCCTGGGATCCGGAATCCAGACATTTTAATGATTGGACTGATCCAGAATCCAGAAGGAGCTTGTAATCCCAAATCTAGGACTAATTTTGGAATCCGGATTCTAGTCGGAATCCATCGACGAGAATCCGGAATCTGAGTGACTGCGATCCAAAACCCAGGCCACATTGAGCATCCAGAATCCAGCCTAGTTCCGGATAACACATTTGATTGCATAGTATTTGAGATCCACTTGGTATCCCATGTTTATCCTAGAGTTTCATACAAAAAAAAGTAATTTAGGATGAATGCGTTAACTATTAACAGGAGGGTCTATTGATTATGATGCAAACTGGTAATAATCTGATTTCCTTATGTAATGATGATGGGAAAAACAAGTGAGATTTTTTTCATTGTATTGTAGAAAGCTGCGTCGTACCGAAGAAAGTTCGTAAAATCTTTACTCATTGTTACGCTGAATACTCTATGTCCGACGAAGACGAGTCGACTCCATATCTCCCTGGTTGGAAGCCTTTTACAGGTAATAAAATGGACTGGGCCAACATATCAAAGCTTTGTCCTAAACCATGGCGTTACAGCACAGCAAAAGAAATTTACTTCGTGCCAACATGGGGTTACCACCACTTGTACGGTGGAGGTGGCTACGTGGCTGACTTAGGCTACAAGAACTCCACCAGAAGCTTTGTCACCTCTCCTCTACGTAAAAACGGCTGGTTTGATCCTAGAACAAGAGCATTGATTCTAGAATTCGCCATTTTCAATCCAAGCACAAACCAGATCAGCTCTGTTGCTTTTTATTACGAGGTACTCCCAACCTTATTTGGTGATCCCTTTACAAGGATTGAGACAATGACCATATATGGAAGTGCGACTGGGTCACATGACTTCTTCCTTATTTGCAAGCTATTGTTCATCTTCTTTGTGCTTTTCTACCTCGCGCGGGAAGCATTCAAAGTGTACAAAGTTAGAAAGATCTACTTTAAAAACTTTTGGAACTGGTTTGAGATTTTTCAAATCATATTGGTTGTGGCTGTGGTGGTATGTTATCTTGTCAAAGAAAGCATGATTTTGGAAGCAGTTCAAAAACTCCAAGCGAACCCGTTCATCACGGTGAACTTTCAACCCGCCATTATGTGGAAGTATGCTGAAGATGTTACACTGTCAATGGCGGTTTTCATAGCCACTGTCAAGATTCTCCGCATGTTGCGTTTTAATCCCCATATTATTATCTTCAATTCATCCCTAAGAAGATGTAGGGCAACTTTGTTAAGCTTTTCGGTGTTATTATTCGTTATAATGTTCGGGTTCGCGCTACTTGGACATCTGGCACTAGGATCAACAATGCCACAATATCGGACACTTAAGCATTCACTGTACACTCAAATTCTCGTATCCCTTGGCCAACATATGAGTACTACAGAATTGAGGGACGCGAGTTTCTTTCTTGGAAATGCGATGGACATGATTTACAAGATGTTAATGGCGTTTTATTTCGTTAACTTTTATATTGCGGTTATTAACGATTCGTATGAAGAAACTAAATCAGATACAGACTATAATGCCAAGCAATTCGAAATGTCTGAATTCATCATTGAACGTCTGGTGGATATGTTCTTCAAAAGCTTTCGAAAAGTAAAGAATGAAAGTGTTATTGAATTAAGTACAGTTCCTCAGCACGTATCGTCGGTGAGGTTAGAGGACGAAAATCTTGGAAAAGACAATGGAAAAGATGGAAATGGCAATGGAAAAGACATTGGAAAAGAAAATGGCGAAGAACGTCCAGCTGTCACATCTTCTCAACAAGATGAAGATGTTGAAGCTATGATCAAWGAAATTGAAAGAAACTCCACAGAGYGTGGGAATTTTTCGAAAGTTGAGACAATTTCAGAAGCGACAGATAATCCTCCATCCACTTCAAAGAGCGTCGAAAGTAGTAAACAAATAACTTTACCAGCAATTATAGAAACAGTAGATCAAGTCGGAAACGTTGAAGACGAACCACTTCAAGACGTTGGAAAGGTGGGAGGCGAAGACGAGAAACCGAAGCGAAAGAAAAATACATCGAAATCAAAACAGCCATGTTTTGCTAAAAAACCCACCAGCACCAAAGCAGAGCAACAAGAAGATCACGATAAATACTTTGAGATGTTTACAAAAAAAGGAGACGAAATCTGTCAAAGGACAATGTTTTTAGCAAATGAAGACAAAAAGGAAGAAAATGAATTCTTGCAATGTATTTCTCATATTTGGTTTGACTTGCTGTCCAAACAGCGAACTCAACCACCTTCAACTTCTGGAATTGAAAACCAAGGTTATGAAAGCGAGGAGAGTCCAGRAGAAGAAGAATACGAGACATTTGAAAGTGAAGRAAGCGAAGAAGAAGAAGACACATTTTGGGAATCAATCGAACAWGTACTCAAAGAAATARCTATATCGAAAACCTTACGAGTTCCTGAACATTTAAGATTTAAATACAACAAACTTTTGAATGATCATAATAAATTCTAAACGAGCATTGAAAGTCTCATGCAGTTATATAGTTCTTTATCTTATGTGGACCAAAGTGCTTGAACATAGCATTAAAATGTTAATTATAAAAGTTTATTAAACACTATGCTTTGTACATATCACAAAAAATAATAATACATAGATAATAGATATTTTTATAGATAAATATACTATTTATAGTACAATTTTTTTGGAAACTTTTATATAAATAGAATTGAAACAAYACTTCAAGTCTCATTTATCGAAAATGTCAATTACCCACCAAACGTGATGTCATACATTGCTTGTCCGCGCACGTTTTCTTTCTAGATACCGCTGTTTTGCRKCCTCTATGCTGCCTTCAGAATTCCTTTTTGAGAGCGATAAAGAAGTCTTGCTTTCTGTGAAAAATAAAATAATATATATCCATTACACGTCATTCTACAAGAGCTTTGGTATATGTGGATTGTGCTACCTTGCTCATTGTCATGACCAACGCCTTGTGTCACACAATCATTCACCGCAGAAGATGACTCGCTGACTATTTTCTCACGGTCGTCCGCTGACCATCCTGATAACGTATACGCGTCCACTTCGTGAAGTCTAGGAAGCAATTCTTTGACCCATTCGTAACGAATCTGGAAATTTACCGTATGAATTATTTGGTGACAAATGATAACATCGACGAAGCTAAGGGTATTTTTGGGTAGTCGGAAATTGGAATTGTATGTGGATGGCTTTCTCGAAAATGAATGACTTTATTCCTAGTACAAAGGCTTAACGTCCGAAACGTCAGTAAGTATTTTATCTACTTTTACGGTGTTAAAATGTGTCTTATTTGAAAACTATTCCTCGAAGAGGAATGGTTATTTAGTACAGGAACTAGGACACTGTTGTGATAGTAGTCTTCTCATGGTCCCTTTAGGCTTACATATGATGATGTAACCTTTTTCAACACAACAAAGTTTTGATTGCATACAACTCGTGACCACTTAAATTACTTACTGGACATACTGTCCTTACGTATATCTTCGAGGTCCAGATGACATCATGATATATTATCCAATCAAGTTGTTCCTCGCATCCAAAGAGCTATAAAGAAAAGAAAAACATGCAGCTTTTTGCTAGTTTTAGCAAAACGAAGCGACGATTTTGATTGATGGTTTAAATAATGAGTACTTTTGTAGTACTAACCGTTGATGAGGGATGAATGTGGACTATAGTACCATGCCCATCCATAGTACGGAATCCTGAACCAGATGAACTCCTAACAAACAAAGGAAATAATCTACGCTCAGCAGGACAAAGATGAAGCAACGCGAAATTATTATGAAAATGACAATGATGATGATAATATCGGACAACAAACGGATTTTGCTAATTTGAGGCGATTTTGATAATTTCTATAGTGATAATGGTGAAAACTGATGCTTTTTTGTGAACTTGGAACTGCGGAATTGCATAGAGGAAGACACTGATGACAAACCTTCGAGCAACGTTGCAGAAATAACCCGCACACAAAGCTTGTCGAAGGCTCTCTCGTCCTGTTGCCTCAGTTTTCGTCCTCCAATRTTTTCTTGTTGAACTTCTCGTTTTCTATTGCGAAAAATTTGTTTGCTCAGAACAATTTGGAAGGACTATACGAAGAAAAGTCAATAATTTAAGCCAAACAAACAAACAACATAAGCCAATAGCGTAAGAGTGAGAAGAAAGGAAGATCGAAGAAAGAGAGAAAAGGAAAAAAATGGAAAAATAAAAAGACCAATTGAGGACGAAAATGAAAAAGTGGGGAAGAATTTAGAAGGAAATACCTTCTACCATACCTGTCTATCAATAATGTTTTTCAACTGCTGGTGAATGCTGAAGGCCATTTTCACGGCTCTCCAATGGACAAACCTTTCACGACACCATCTTGGTGGTGATGGGCTAACAACAGAAAAAGATTGTGTTATAGTGGGCCACCAAACTAGACCTCCTCGCCACTAATGACGTCATATTTGTTTTGGCGAGGTGCATCATGGTATTGTTAGCCTGCACTGCCGGTGGACAGCGGTTTTTGGGGCCTCCATGCAGGCTGCTATTGTTTTGATTCAGTAAAAGTGTTCAARATGGCGGACGCCTTATAAAAACTACAGAGTGTAAAGTTTCTTAGAAAAATATTTTGACGTCATCTATTGCTGAGTATGCTTCAGTAAAACATTTAATCAGACGGTTGCAAAYTAGAGTATGCTCGAAGACTGGTCTTAAAAAAGCAATTCTTGTTGTTAACAAAGTCGCCTGAAACAGGGCTTCAGTATAAATGTTCGTAAATCCCGTAGCGACYCATAATGCACCTCGAACGGTATGCCATATTTCCATACCTTTCCTAGGCTCAGTCTCCAGCCGTCGGGATTTCGTGCGCCCGCGATACTCTCTCCCCTGACGGCTGGGCGCATGGGGTTTGCTATTGTCAGTCTCGACCAATCAGCGAGTGGCCCCCGATATTTTCAGGGGCATATCATTAATAAATTAGCAGGCAGCCGTCGTCGCAGTGTAACAAAATAGCGGACAATTCGTCGTTTGAGATTCTCGTTTGAACGCTCTGAAGTCGTTTAGTAGCTTGGACGAATTTAGAGAAATACAGCAAAAGGCTCTTAAAGAGATTGTTCTTGGAAAAGATGTCCTTGTTATTCTTCGTACTGACTCGGGCAAATCTCTTATTTTTCAAACAGCGCCACTAGTGTATTTTGCTCGTCTTTCTGGCAGATAACATATCTATTTGGATTATTAAACCCTACACATATTTCACTTAGAGTAATTTCTATTCCTTTAGTCTTTTTTAAAGCGCTAACTATTACATAATATCGTTACTTCGCGAAGTTTTCATTAAAACCTTTTAATACGGCTGCTGTCAGATATTTCACTTCCGTTCAATGAAAAATTCACTTCCGTTATTCATAATATGCTAATTACACAAAAACGTCACGGACATGCGCGACACGCTTCGAACCCCATGCGCCCAGCCGTCAGGGGAGAGAGTATCGCGGGCGCACGAAATCCCGACGGCTGGAGACTGAGCCTATACCTTTCCTTGCATTCCTTATAAATGTATAACAAAGTCGCGAAGTCATTTGTGCCACCAGCAAGCTCTGCAATCTCTTTGTGGAAGCGAGATGCTTTAGTAAACTTTGTCTTTCCACCTCCGCTTGCAAAGACATTTTCGACAGACAGCATAGCGGCAACAGGTAGAACCAGGTCATCGCAGCCAGTATCAGCAGAGTTAATCACAGCTCGTGAGAGGCCTGGTGCAAGAGGAAGTTCAACCATGCGGTGKCCTAATGTAGTCACGTGACCGTTACTAGTTTAGACAAAAAGAGAGGTTACTTCAGATAAGGTAAGAATCGAGTATGAACGATATTTTGGGAATATGCCAAGGCATTTGTCCAAATGATCTCACCGATCTACCGCTTCAAAATAATATAGCTGTTTTAAAGCTTCTAAAACCATCCTTTCTTCTGGTGGATCAATGTACTGAAACCTACAAAATATAAAATACATTCCAGATTATTGCACATCTAATCATAATATGCGTGCACTGAAGGGAAGAGTGGGAATAGACAAAATGCTAGATTATGTATTTTAAAAGTTCCACGCCCAAACGTCCATAGTCTACTAAGGTTCTTTATAGCACAACCTTGTAACAATACCTAACAACATCATTGATTCCCATGCATTTTAGATGTAGTACAACCCTTGACAGACTTGTTCTTTGGATTTCTGGAGTAGTTTCTTGGTCCATGGATTCTTCATACACTTCCCTAGTGAATGGTAAGCTTACAATCAGTCACAGGAATACTGTATTGGTGTAAAAAGAAGAAGGCRGGTTTACCTTGTGTACATACGAAAACACGTTCCTTTAGAAGTTCTTCCTGCTCTTCCACGTCTTTGAATGGCTTCTGATCTAAAATACATGGGATGTTTAGTTTTAATTTTTTTAATCAAAAGATTTGAGCTACAAGACATCTACTCCTATAGCCATCCATTCAGTTATTCTGTCATTTATTCATTTTTCATTATTCAGTCATTCATTTTTCATCCATTTATTCACTTTCTCAATAATCCATTCATCACTTAATTGATAATTAACTCAATTATCCATTTGTTCATTTATTCATTCATCCATTCATCCATTTATCCGTTTCTTTTTCCCATATTTTATAAACAAACCTGGAGATAAGAACTACATTCAGTGAATCTAGACCTGTCCTGGCATTGAATGACAACTGTTTGACAAAACCACTGTCTACAACATACCTAAAAACAAACAGAAAAAAAAAAGGAACATTCTCAGGAAACACAGGATAAAGAAAGAAAATACAAAAAAAAAAAAATAAAAGGAACTTACTTTATCCCTTCAATTGTAAGTGATGTGGCAGCAATGTTGGTTGCTATGACAACTTTACGAATGGAAGGATCAGGAGGATCAAACACTCTTCTTTGTAAGTCTGGAAACACAGAATCATACAATGCAATATAGGATTATTCTATGCATCCCCAAACTACTTCAAATTATAATGAGTGGGTTCCCTGTGTGTTTTATTTTTCACATGCATGGAATCAAATCATATTATTATTACTGGTTGAGTGGAGTYCCTGYACATTACCTATTCATGAATGTAAATTGAATGGGATCTCTGTGGTTTATTTATCTCCATCAAGTGGAATTGCTGTGGTGCCCTAATTACTATATCTATATTGAATTCAATTACTGATGTTTCCTTAATCATCTACAGTAAGTGTTATCACTGTGCATTCTCTAATAGCCAATTTGCAAATTTTGCTCCAGTCATCAAACACAAAAGAATCAAGATTAGGCGCTGTGCACAAAGCTCAGTCAATTGTGAAAAACTATTGTCTTTTCACGAATGACTGAGCTTTATGCATGGCGTCTCATCTTGATTTCTTTGTGTGTGACTACTGAGGCAAAATTTGCAAGTCAGCTATTACCTACACTGAGTGGGATACCTGTGCCTTCTCTAATTATCTACATTGAGTGGGATTCCTGTGCCTTACCTGTTGTCAAGGATCCATAGAGTGGTAATATCAAAATAGCATCAACAACATCACTCTCTACATCATGGTCATAGTCAATGTCTTCTGCTTTATTAAATAACCTATCACAACATGTTTCTATCTCTTCTTGGCCTGTCAGAAACACCAATATATCCCCTGGGGGGTACTCTAAGTGGATTGTCATAACAGTTTCTACGATCTGAAAACAAATGTTTAACATTGAGAATTTAGAAAGTCTGAGTGATGGAGAAACTCTTTTAAGTAAGCAATTCCCAGTCAAAGTACTGCTTGCTAAAGCAGTGAACATGTTTTTCTTATCAGAATTCATAGGAGTCTTTCAAACTTCAAAATTTAAAATGAAAATAATTTCGTTCTTTAAGGGAAAACATTTGGTTGTAATACTATGACTTGCTCAACAGTTCATCATAATTATGTTTAATATAAGCTCAAGATACCTTTTTTAGATAATTAGGAGTTTGCAAATCATTTGTCCCTATAAAATCGCAAAACACTTCCTTGACTGGAAAGACTTTTCCAGGTATTTCTATGACTGGACAGCCTTCTAGGAAGTCAGAAAACTTTTGATGATTGAGAGTTGCCGACATGACAACAATTTTGGGTCTTTTATCTCGTCTTTTGATAAAGAATTTCTTAACAAGCCCAAACAATATGTCCTGAAAAAGAGAATTTGAATGAACACATGAATGGATGAATGAATGCATGAATGACATGACTTAATATATGAATGAAAGGATGCATATATATAGGTATAAGTAGGGGACAGGGCTATAAAAGTGCAATTTTGAGACACATGAGAACATCTCAGAAAAGTACAGAGGCTGTAGTCCAACTGCTCCTTKTCTCYATAGTCCCTGTCATTGTAAGAGGAACAAAACTGGGAAAGTTCAAACAAATACAAATACATTCCTTACAGTGTCCAGACTTCTTTCATGKGCTTCATCCAGAATAATCACACTATATCTACTCAGATCAGGGTCRTCCAAAAACTCTCTTAGCAAACACCCATCCGTCATGTACTTGATGCGTGTCTTATCACTTGTRCAGTCATCAAATCTGACTTGATATCCGACTASACCTGAAGTACGGAAACAACTCAAGTTAGAGGAGAGGAATGGGTAATATGACWAAGGTATTGGGCCATAATTCATGTCTATTTTTGAAATGTGAATGTGTTTTTACTTAAAAGTATTCGYAACTTGTTGCTTGGATCAGACAGCATTTGGATGTACAACTTTAAGAAACGTCATGCACACGATTTCTTACATTAATGCACAACATCCTCACCTCCAACTTCAGAGCTTGTTTCKTCTGCAACTCTATTAGCAACTGATATTGCAGCAATTCGTCTTGGCTGTGTAACTCCAATCAACTGTCCTCTACTTGTGAATCCWGCATCGTACAAATATTGAGGCAATTGCGTGGTTTTTCCGCTTCCCGTTTCCCCAACAACGACTAGAAATTGATTGTCTTGTACAGCTCTTATTAAATCTTCTTTGTAGTTGTCGATCGGGAGACGGTTTCGCTTTGGCGAACGGTGATCGTCCAAAGATTTGCGCTTACTGCGTTCTCCTCTGTGCGCCGCCATGTTTGTTTTGGGACTTATTCCCCCCTCTTTAAGTTCGACACAGGAACCCCATTTAAAACAAGAAAAATGGCGGGGTTTATAGGTTTATAGGGGTAATGGCGCGGGAAGAAGTAGTTAACATGTGATCTCTTTGTTGCCTTTTTAAGTCTCGCGTCGACCCTGAGACGTGGTTCGCAATCACAATGATTTATAATTTATTTTATTTCTTTATCAAAAACGGTGTATCTACAAATTTGATCAAATATTTATATTTAATATTTATATATACTCAAAGAGACAAGATTTTGCTGTAACTCCGAGTTTCGTGCTACGCACTCATCAGACAGTTTTTAATATTTATCAGATCTGAAATAACAATTATTTTCTGTGGTTTTCATGCAACTTTCCACATCKCCACCCACTAGTGATGGAGTGTGCGACTCTTTCAGTATGGTCGGTGCGTGCGTCCTTCGACTATATTGGTTAACATTGAGAATACGATCAAAAGGGGTAGCTTAAAAGGAACCCCTATAAGTGCTTTTATAGATCAAAGGCAAGCATGTTTTACTAAGCAAATTTTGACTTATATCGTCTCATTGCCTAGTTATAAATCTCATTGTCTTCGTCTATTTCAGAGAATTTCGTTCCCGCTTCAAGGCGGACTTTAGGCTTAAACCTTCCATACCTCCATGCATTATCAACAGCACACACAAAAAYAACGCTTAGAGGTTTGATTGTCAAATAAATTGGTAGTTTTTGCGAAATTTTCGACTTCCGATATTTCCCYTCAAACTTTATTTTGAACGTCTTATTTGCGCACTTATTTGCAATCTCGAAAGCCATGATACGAGTTTGTACTTTCCCAATGGTTTCTTTCTTTAGCGATCGCTCTACAAGCATTAGACAACTCGAAAGCGGCAAAGTCTCAACTGAAGTCTCGAGCCCAAAGTGACTTTGAGACAGYAAAGCATTAAGACTAAGGAGAGGTCTGATACTGTTGGCTGTTACTCCGTTTGCGCAAGCGCAAAGTTTGACGTCAACACCTTTATCAGCGCATGACTCGTACTTGCCATAAATGCTGACCCGAACAATRTCCATCACTCGCACATTTGGTTGACCAATAGAGGAGTGATTTAGAGTCACTTCAAATCGTTCAGCTGACTTCGAACCATATATGGGCACGACGAGTAGCAACAGTGTTGTAATGACGTTATCTCCATTKATAGACTGTCGCGCATGYTCAATAGTTTTACCTCGAAATCGCGCGCACGCGCCGTASCCTATTGAYCTGGTCGTGTGTCCTTCCATAAATTGTTTTGAGATTCTATTATTTATTTCRCCTAAAGCCACTTCRCCGAGCCATTTGGTGGTCTGGTGATTTGTATCKATAAAATGGTTCCAGTCTTTGCATCTGCAGTACGCGTCRCTACTCATACCAACCAAATCCCCACATGTGCGGTTAAGAGGGATTGGGGAGAGTAGACCGCTTACACGGTAATTATTGACTGCWGGCGYCGATATTTCATTSATCTTTATGRCATTCAGCATCCGGTGCAAGTCTATCAAAGCTACAAGTCTTTTCTGGTTGTTGGATAAGTTTCTCATCGCCTTCTTGCCAAGTCGCTTTGCTACCTTATCTGGTATTATCATGAACATTATAGGAGAAGAGACTTCTAAACGGCCGTAAAAATTTGATATTGAATACTCAGTAGTCTTTGAGCCGTGATCAGATAGAAGRATAGTGATGGTATTAGTCAACTTCGATACAGCTTTRATATGCTCWGCCAAAGGAACATCATCCRCACGTATKCGCTCGCCAGTCTTCTCATGGCCCGTATTCATGTGGGTGTATACCAGCGCAGGGGCATTATCTTTCTGGCTCTCCACGCCCCTTAAAAAACGCTCCACGTACTTTAACATGTAATGMGTAATAACTTTACCRTTCAGGCACGACTTYACACTTTCTTTRAAAGGATTWGCATGGCCATGAACGCGAAGGYTTTCACAAGCWAGAGAAGTYAACCCTTTGTTGTCAATTGAATAATTTGTTGCGTTCAAATATTTGCTATAAAAATCTTTGAACTTRTCAGAAAATGGTTCAAGCTTGTTGTTATAATTCTCGGAAAGAATTGARCCCCAGAAATCGAAAAAGCACAARTCCTCTTGCGCRAGTGTCTGGTAGCCATYATCYTTGAAGTCTTTCATCGTGTTAAAAATMCCGCTYTCTCTTTTTGATGTGTAATACCCTTTTTTCTTCTCACCGCTGAATAACACGCGGATGTTTGATAGAGTATAAGCAGCATAGCTCTGCATCAGCTCAAAGTCTAATACCTTCACTCCAGATTTTTTGGTATGCACTAGTTGCCGCAGCGTCTTTACAGTTCTTGGCAATGACCTGTAGAAGTGTGGTCTTGAAATTGCGTCTTCAAGAATAATGTTAATACTAATTCTATCTCGYTTTKCTTTTCGCTTTTTCTTTACGATTGGAGGGAATATYAATGGCTGCAATCCACTCTTGTCATCGTTGTTGCATTTTAAGAAACAAGAATTGAAACCATTAATAGAGTTTTGTTTGATTATACGAGGAAGATTAGCCTCTAACGACTCCACSTCGTCGAATGATCGCCAGTAGCTTTCTCCGCGGATAATACCATAGTTTTTATCTACACAYCCTAAGAGAACTTCGTCTTCACAACTTTCTGGGTCACACTGGATGTCAATCTTATCATTAATACYATARCGATACGCTGTCTTGAYAATGCAKATTGGCTCAGTATTGTCATGATTGGGGCACTGCTCTGCCTTAGATCGAACCGGAGACAWGTACTCAAARGCTTTGTGGCAAACTTCCTTCGTTCTTGTGTATGGAAYRCAAGCAACATGGGGCATGTGACTGGAAGTGTCYTSTGCACCTAGCCCTTCATAATCACAATCATAGTTCTTTGCRGGCTTACTTTTACGTCTTGGCAAASTTRCTCTCAGCTTTCTTCTTTTTGTTGGCGCGGTTTTGATYGTTCGGGTTGACGTTTGTTTCRAGCTACTTACAGGMCGCAAGGGATGGGCRCGCACGCGYAATTCTCTGTCACGCTTTTGATRKAGCTTCTYAACTTGTCGAGCAATCTTCTTGTCACGTTTTGATTCGTCGGACAACTTCTCCTTCTTCTTTGAATGTTGAGAATTGTCACGCAAGGAGCTACCATTGGTTTCAAGCTTTGCGTTATGTCTCTTAYTTCCATTTATATGATTATCAAGAATATTGATTTGATTGTCATTTTGTTTTTCTAAAGGATCAACACCATTTATAAGAGGTGTAACGACACTTTGTTTCTCTGTCACGCGTATCTCGTTGTTGTCTTCATCGTTGTCTTCAAAGTTGAAGTCCAACTGCTCATCCTCTAAAGGTTGTTTTGCATCAGTATGAATGCCGACTTCGTCTATTTTATCGTTAAAATACTGAAGCAACTCGTTGTCCTTTGATGCATCTTCTTTTGGCTCTGAAAATAATTAAGAAAATCGTGAAAAATGGGCTGAAACCGTTAACAAGCATGCTGCGCGCAAAAACTGCTGAAATCTTCAATGTCCAGCTAGGGTGGTCCATTGCTCGACACCTTCCAAATCAAACCGTCTCTCAACTCTCATCCCCTTCCCTTCTGGCCCCCAACTTCTGCGTGCCAAAGAAAGAGAAAGAAATACCCTGAAAGAATATATGTTCATCTTAAGTATATGATTTAATGCATGGGAGTTCCTCCTCTGTAGAAATGCAAAAGTGCTACAATAGATTTTGTTTTCACCYAAGTTACTATGATAGTTACCTTGGCTTGTGAGCTGCTTTTCAGCGATTTCCATCTGTTGRGTCTCGGACCGTCTTTGTTGTTGTTTAGTGTTATATTTCTCATCGTTTGACAGAAGGTGAAGWATGATTGACGAMGCAACGATRACAAATAAAAACTGAATCACTCTTCTTTTCTTCTACAAATAAACACATTTTATCATTTTAGAAGCGTTATTTGAGTAAATATTAGAAAAGT